ATCAGGCTATCACATGTCAGCAGATTGCTTGTTTTTCCTGAGTCTAACAGCATGCAGATTTACAGCTTCTGGCTTGAATACAGTAAGATTTTTACTACATTTATGGAGGCATGAGGGGGCCCAGGGGGGCTAGATGGTCGTGTTAACACTATAGGGTCAGGAATACATGAAGTTGCACTGGTGACTATAGTGTCCCTTTAAGCATATGTACCTGAGAAACACGTTATGCTTAAGAGTTTTTTTTTTTACCACTATATTGTGTTTGTTTATTTTGTAATAAAGTATATTACTTATTTAATTTATGGTTCCTGATCTTCATCTGAGGAAAAAATCGTTGGAACCAGCTACACAGCAATAGGTTGAGTGGTTTTACTATACCTACTGAGTTCAGAGCCGACTTGAAGGGCTCTTGAATATGTGAGTGTCTATATTTATTACACGGATACCACTTTTGTACAGTCTGCTCTATGTCGCTTTTATGTTTTTATCAATAGGTTTTATTCTGTCTACCTCTGCCAGTGTGAAATACACTTATCAACTGTGCGCTATCACCTTATTGTTTTCAAGATTTTATGTATGTATAAGTGTTTTTTGGCAAAACGCTTGGGTGAACTTGAGCTGCACTGGTCTTTGGGTATTACTGTGGCACCATTTATCTTTACATTGTCTTGAATTATTAGAATATATAGTATGTTTGTGTTGTGTTGTGTTGTGTTGTTGAGGATAGGGGCTTTACAGTGTGTTTCAGGGGATACTGGGCAGAAGGGTGTGTTTGAGAAGAAAACTGGGGATGTGTGTGTGTGTGTGCATGCATGCATGTGGATTGGGGCTATAGTGTGCTTGGGGTGGAGACAGGCTGTTGAGGGGGAGAAAAAGGCTGTAATGGAAGTTATAGGGGCTGTAGTGTTTGCAGGGTGGCTGTACTGGGGGATAGAGGGTATAGTAGGAGAGTAGGGGCTAAAGTGGTTGGAAACGGTCTGTACTACGGGTTATATGATCTGTGAAATGGAGGATAGTGTCTATAGTGGGGGTATATATGATGTAGTGGGGGGATAGGGACTATAGTGGGGAATAAATGCTTTAGTATAGTGATTGTGGCTGAAGTGCTGTATTAAAGAAATTTAAAGGACCACTCTAGGCACCCAGACCACTTCAGCTTAATGAAGTGGTCTGGGTGCCAGGTCCTTCTAGGGTTAACCCATTTTTTCATAATTATAGCAGTTTCAGAGAAACTGCTATAATTATCAATGGGTTAAGCCTTCCCCCTAATCCTCTAGTGGCTGTCTCATTGACAGCCACTAGAGGCGCTTGCGTGCTTCTCACTGTGAAAATCACAGTGAGAGCACGCAAGCGTCCATAGGAAAGCATTGCAAATGCTTTCCTATGTGACCGGCTGAATGCGCGCGCAGCTCTTGCCGCGCGTGCGCATTCAGCCGGCGGGGAGGATCGGAGGCGGAGAGAAGGAGGAGAGCTCTCTGCCCAGCGCTGGAAAAAGGTAAGTTTAACCCCTTTCCCCCTTCCAGCGCCGGGCGGGTGGGGGCACCCTCAGGGCACTATAGTGCCAGGAAAACGAGTATGTTTTCCTGGCACTATAGTGGTCCTTTAAAACGAAAAACAAAAAAAAAACATTTTGTTAAATTAAACAAACAAAAAAAACTAAACAAGTTTATTCTCCGCTCCCAGAGGTTTACTTTGGTCTGGAATAGGGGGAATCTTGATCCCTGGTGCCTTGAGGAAAGACCATCCGTACCCGGCAGGGGAAGGTGGGAGGGGTGGGGTAACAAGCAGCCTGGCCTGCGAAGAAGAGCAAGTGCAGAGCCTGCTGAAGAAATCTTCCATGTCTGCCCTCCAGCAGAAGAATGGGCTGGTGAGGAAGATCCTTGCATCTCCCCATCAGCTGTGCAGCACCTCTCCTGCCTGCTGATCCAAGGACAGGGCCTCGGTGGCCTTATGGCGAGTCTGACCATGTCCATACGCTCCTTGCACAGTGCATTCTATTAAACAATTTAAAAACAAAACAGGACTTATAAAGAAAACTTTAAATATTTAAAGACTTGACTAGTCAGTTTCTTGACAAAATCATATCCAGTGAGAATTCCACCTCCGAGAGCCAGAAGCTCTTCCATGGAACTTCTGTTAGCTCTCCAGAGCTGAACATGGCTGTGTGGAGTTTGCACATTGACAAAGAGAGTCAGCTGACCGCAGATCCCTACAAACTCACATACACTCACATACAGTTTGATAACACTGAGAGGTTTAACATGTTATTTTAACCGCCTTTCCCCTTTGCTGTATAACCCCAGCTTGGGACATGACTTGAAGTCAAGAGGAACTAAAATTATGCTCTTTAAATGACTTTAAGTGTCATCAAAAGGGACAATGAGTGGGAGAGACAGTAAAGGGGGAGGCTAAAAAAAGAAAAAAAAACAAAAGTGCAAAAAATGAAGTGGGACTGAAAGAAAAGGTTGAAGTAGCATTAAAAGACAAATGAGGAGAATGGGAAGGGACAGAGCAGTTTTATGACCCATACAAGCATGCACACTATTTTGATACTACCTAGAAAGTACTGCGTACTGTGCTCGTAATTAAACACCCTTAGATAATTCATTTGTGGCTTTTCATTAACCCCTTAAGGACACATGACATGTGTGAAATGTCATGATTCCCTTTTATTCCAGAAGTTTGGTCCTTAAGGGGTTGAACTGGTAAGCTGTTGAACTATTAGCAAAATGTTTGTCCACTTACATTTGGAGTGGAGACCATTTCACCTCTGGCAACGTAACCACGCTGTAGTGGTTATGGTGCTTGGAGTGTTCTTTTAACATGTTTTGAAATTTACATGTAATCATTCCAGAAAGCATGACATTGAACTGATCTCATCTAAAATCTACTTAATTCTGGTAGAATTGAAAATACTAGCATTATAAATTCTGGAAAAATAAGGTTAGCTAAACAGTTTTTTTTTTTTACATTGTAATCATTTATATATATTTTACTATGCTACACATGACAGTTGAATATGTGATGTACATTTTATCTCAGTTGATTCCCGTTCCATGTGTGCTTGGATGTTGCTTAGTGCTCCCTTGAAAAGCTATTTCCATTTATTTGTATTAAACAATATTACAAATCAAGTGTTTAAAATGAGAGTGATCTGAATGAAACATGTCACCCTATTGATCACTAGAGATAGTTTTGCTAATCTGCCTGGCTAGATGAATGCATACTTCTGTCATTTCCATTACAATGTAGGGAAGCACAGATATAAGGTTCTGGTTACATAAGGGGCTCCTTCTCTTTTTGAGCCTTCGAGACAGATTTGAGGTCCCAATTCCGAAAGAGAAACCTGAGGTCATCATGCTATGACACTTTAGACACCTTGAAGAGAGGAACTGAATGTGAGTATCTCTTTCCCAAAAATATATGGTCCAAATTTATAATTTTAGCAGCTGAGTCAAAGGTCGGGAACCACCTAAATGCCAGCAAGACGTTAAAAGTTAGGTAATGTTTGCATGGAAGCAAAGCATCATGTCAATAAAATTCAGGGTAAAGTGCAGAGTTTCAGTTTACCACTAAAATCTACTGCAATAATCTTGCCTCATATGTGAGTGTATCACAGGTTACATAATAAAACTTGAAGGGATCTATTCACTTTGTTATAAATTTCGCTTTTGCAATTTCGGCCAATTGCATTTGGCTCAATTCTCCTGCTTTTAGTTGTTAAAATTCCACTGCAGTTCCAGGTATTTACTAACAACTGAATGGCAAACTAATTGAGCAGAGTGGATCACAACTGTTTTCAAATGAACCTCATTGCTGCAGTGAGATTAATTTGAAAATAGCTTAGGTGAATTGCAATTAAATTCCAACCAAATTGCAACCAAACTGCGATTGAATTTTCCTGCTACAAAAATTTTTTTTTAAAAATGCACTTATGTAAGAGTCAGATATGGAGGAGGATTTAGGCATGAGGTATCCTTAATGTGCTAAACGGTGGTTGTGGTAGCATCAGGGTGTCAAGATTATATGGCTTTTAGTTTTAGGGGAACTGAGCAACTGGATGAAGTCAATTGAGTTACAATTTGGATGTTTGTGAATAGGCGAATTACACATGCTATATTAAAGTTTGTCTGATTTCAACACACACAGTCAAACCACAGTGGAATGGAAATGTGGATTCGGTTTAAATAACCAAACTTGTCTTTTGTGAATAAACATATGTACTAAAATAGCTGAATTGTGACAAGTGACCAGCATTCAGGTGTTCAGTTGCTGTCCAGCATTGAGAAAAGAATTCACAATAATTTGAGGGAATGTTCAAATGGACATTACATCAGTGGGATGTGTTGATGACATCACACTGACATCCAGGAGAATACCTTAAACAGGAAGTTAATTAGCTCAACATGAATGCCCATGCAGAAGCCCTCACTTTGTTGGGATTTCCTCTGGCGTCCCTGAGAAGCTAAACTACAGTGGTACGGAGTCTGGACTGTGTTCCTAAATTGGATTGTCTTTCCAGATCCACTTATCTTACTGTAGGCCAGAGCTCCACTGCTCATGCAGCATTTATCAACTGATTACAGAGCTCCCAAGCAATAAATCTCACAGCAACATGGAGTGTGTAAATTAGCCTATCACTGGGCTCCTTCAACAGTAAAACATACAGCACTGTGTGTTAAATCTGTATTAAATATGTTCACAACTCAATTTGTGTAACCAGCAAACTGTAACCTTTGCTCCCAGTAGCTCTAAATAATCCAGTTACATAAACTGATATCAATACCTAATTTAGTCACTATTCAAAAAAGTTTGCTAGTGTTCATACGCTAGCCAAAAAATGTTCCATCTAAAAAAGCGAGAGATGTTGAATTAAAAACTAGCTTACTAGGCAAGAATGCTTTTTTTTCTGTTCGTTTAGTAAATTTACATATACCCACCCCTTCCTTGCCACAAAAAGAGAATGAATGAATTCACACATGTGTAACTTCACTTTTGCAGAAGCAATCTCCATGGTACGCTACCGAAGAGAGAAGGGAGTAATGGCTGTGATTTCTGTTACAATTTACTTAGTATTTCTCACAACTACCACTTGGGCATTGTGCCAGCCTAACCAATATTCAACTCGATTGACCTCAGGTAAAGAAATCTGCTGCTTTTATTGTGCTGCAGGTAAGACTAAACATTTTTTATAATTATATAGTACAAGTATATATCTCTGTTTTGTTGAAATAAATTGTGATATTTTATTTTTCTACACAAATAGTGCTAATAACGGTACATGCCTTACAATGATTTACTTAAAGAACTTACACTAATATGGAATGTCCTGTTTTATTTAGTCAGAATGATTCTAAAATATCACACTTTTATTATTTTGACAGGAAATGGAAATAGCTTCTTTAATGACTACATTGTCGTAACTGCATAGCCTTTGTTCTTTCAATGGATAAGTTGTTGCTAAAATAAAGCAGTTAGCATAATTTTCTTTTTTTTTTTTACATTTTTTTTTTTTACATTTACCAACAAACTTAGTACAAACTATACTCAATTTAATATTTTAATGTGTGTAAACCAGGAAATAAAATGTTTAGAATTGTTTAAAATTTTTATTATTTTTTTCCTAATGACGCTTGTAAACTCATAATGAAAAAATCTGATATTTTCCAGGCCAAAATTGATAAATGTTGTCATTTTTTAATGTCAAAAATGTATGAAATGTATGAATACATTTGGTATTTTTTATTTTAGAAGAAAATTATATATTTATTGAGATATTTGAAGGGGAACTTTCACTCTGGAATTTACACAATTAAATAAAACACTAAAAAGGATCTATAATTCACGATCACCATTTTCTTTTCCATAAAAGGCTCTTTTTTTTCATTTGTATTAAAGATTTAGCAAATGACTTCATAATCCAGTTCAGAAAAGGCAAAACCAGGGCAAACATTGCAAATGAAAAGGACAAAGAGAAACATTGTTTAATTTCTCCTCTTATCTACGTACTTTCTCCAACCTGGTGCAAAGAACAGAACTTGCCAATGATTGACAGGTAGCTTAGGTGGAGCCACCTAACTGCACAATTAAATATTGAGATTTCTTCTTTTCATTTTTATATTCACACCTCACAAATGTGTATTGGTTAAATATAGGGATCAGTAAAAATAATATTAAAAACCTGGAAAGTGAAAGTTTAAAAGTGACTTTTCTACTGTTTGTCAGTCAGTAAAAACATGAACATACCCTTAATGCTAGCAATTTATATCCTAAAAAAGTGGATCAGTTTTAAGTTTAAAAAAAAAAAAAAATTATTCTTTATTTAAACTACCTATAACTTCAGCTGGAGTTGTTTAATTCAGTAAGATTTAAAGTTTTTCTGAAAACAAAGAAAGGGGAACTGTTATTTTGTTTGTGTCTTTTCACAAAAATTGTGAAAACCACTTTGTTTAAAGGTCAGCCACCAAGGTCTTCCTGCTGGTTCTCTTGAGCTCCTGGTGCTTTATCTACCAGGAGTCCACATCAGTGCTGTACTCTCGCTCATGCATTGAGGTCTGCTGATGATCCCACAAGACTGCGGAAGACTCCATAGATATTGTCTCACGATGAGACAAAACTTGACAAAGGTAGCTCCTCATTTTGTCAAATTATGTCAATTGGTTACCGTTAAACCATACCTGCTAACTGATCAAATCAGAGGAAGACATGACCCCTCGGTCTTATTTTACAAAAGGGACAATTTCAAGAAAATGGGTCACTTTTATAGCATTCCTTAGTTTCACTGTCTGTTTCTACCCTCACTCATTTTTAACTGTAGTTGTCTGCACCTGCTTTAAAATCTATGAGAAACATTGGATTGACGGAACGTAGCAATTGCTGTGCATGCGCCGTAGGTCTAGATTGGACGGTAAATGTAAAACAAAAAGGAATTATATTTAATTTTAATATTGGAGTGTTCCTTTAAAATCACCATGTGCACAAGTTATATATTCGTATTTCCCCAGCCTTCCCTAAACCTATTGTTCCCTTCCATTTTCTTGTTCTGAAAAAAAAGGGGGTTCTATAACAGAAAACCAAAGAAAGCATGTGATGTCCTGGGCATTCTGGACCTTGTGAATGATGACATTAAAGAACTATTATGATGGAAACCTCCTTACCTAGTCCTTCTCACGAAAAGGTTACTCTATTGAGTAATATATACCAGAATCAACCAAGAATCTAAAAGAGTATCATTAGGGAGAAACTGTGCAGTGCTTTAGGTAGAAATAGGAAGTGGTGATTAAATTACGTTTCTACAAGAACTTACAAGCTGTTTTGACATATTTATTCTTATTTATGCCACTATATAAATCACGAAGATAAAAACATAAGTTGGCCTCTTGCTATAACATTGGGGTGGTGTTCCATCTAAGCACTTTATTTAGAACTCAGAGAGAAAGAGAGAGTGTTGCCTGGTTGGTATATCGGGGAACTAACTTGTCACTTTGGTGAATATTTAAAGGACCAATACAGTGCCAGGAAAACATACTAGTTTTCCTGGCACTATAGTGCCTTGAGGGTGCCCCCACCCTCAGGGATCCACTCCCGCCGGGCTGGATGGAGGGGAAGGGGTTAAACACGTATCTGTTTTCCCCCGCCGGGCTCCCTCAGTGCTGGAGACTCTCCTCCTCCTTTCCCGTCATCGGCTGAATGCGCATGCGCAGCAAGAGCCGCGTGCGCATTCAGCTAGTCTCATAGGAAAGCATTCGCAATGATTTCCTATGGACGCTGGCGTCTTCTCACTGTGAAAATCACAGTGAGAAGCACCCAGGCGCCTCAATGAGACAGCCACTAGAGGCTGGATTAACCCTAGGCAGAAAGGGTTAATCCTAGGTGGACCTGGCACCCAGACCACTTCATTAAGCTGAAGTGGTCTGCGTGCCTATAGTGGTCCTTTAAGGTGCACTACGCTACAGCTTACACTTTGGGGGGTCTTGACAGAGGGGGAAGCTATAGTGCCAAGAAAACTTTCTTTCTTTAATACCCAAATCAAATACAAATGTTTTATCTGTATGTATTTTAGAGTATAATATCTAGTCTATAAATCTTCACTCACCGTCATTTATACTCTAGTTTTGATTACCAGCAAGCAGAGGAACACATTTATCTGCCAGAAGCACCTAGTCACTGATATAATGTATAATGCTTGCAAACTTGCTTAAAATGTAAGCTCATTCCCTGATTTTAAACAATACAGGGGTTTCTAATGGGTCATATCATTCCTATAGTCTGGAACTATAAATACCTTTTTTTTTATTTTTTATTATATGGTTTAGCTGTATTAACTGTATGTTGGCATTATGCTTAAATGCAGAAATTATTTTACAATCTCTTGCTATATTTAGCAAGCTGTACTGCTAGTAAAGTCTTCAGTGTGATTGCAAATACCTATAAGCAAGGTATGTTAGAATTTTCTATCTATTTTGTCACATCTACTGTATGTGAAAAAAATGTAATTTCCTGCTTTTATACGCTGTCTGAAGTATTGCAAGATAAAGGACACTGTATACTATCTAAAGCATTTAATTTGCTAAATATTTTTATGAAGGATGAATGAATAAATGAATCATAAAAATTGTGTAAATGTACATAATTTAAATTCTTATGTTTGCCTACAAACAAAATTGCTGTATTAATATTTGTTTGCATGCTAGCTACACATACCTTGCTTCAAATAAATCTTATGCTAATATTTTCCAATCACGTAGTGAAGGGATTAAAGGGACACTGTAGGCACCCAGACCACTTCAGCTCATTGAAGTGGTCTGGGTGCAAACTCCCATCACCCTTAACACTGAGCTTGTAATTATTGCAGTTTTTATAAGCTGCAATAATTACCTGCTAGGGTTAACTCCTCCTCTAGTGGCTGTCTGCCAGACAGCCACTAGAGGGACTTCCGGGTGGATAGGTGACTTTTGGTCGACTAAACGACGCTGGACGTCCTCACGCTATGCATGAGAACTTCCAGCGTCTCCAGAATCCCCATAGGAAAGCCGGTGGGGGAGAAGAGTGACCCCCTTCTACACTTTGGGGGGTCTTGACAGAGGGGGAAGCTATAGTGCCAAGAAAACAAGCTTGTTTTCCTGGCACTATAGTTTCCCTTTAATGTAGCAGTTCTGTTTGTATTCCTAATGCTTCAGTGTTCCTTTAATAAACATTATCTAGGAACAGGGCATTACATTTCCAGAACCTGAGCATTCTGTTTACCGAACATTCTATACCTTTTCTCGATTTTCATTTGTGTGCAAAAGAATATCATAACGCTAATATAGATTTCTTACAGGAAACAGGTACAATTTCAAAACCACCTACACCTTTTAACCACAATGAAATCATGCAGTGTGTTGAGGTCTTTACAAATCCAACGTGGTGAGAACGCACAGCAGACTGTGTGGGAGTAGATTAAAGTGCCGACTACTCCGCTCACATACTGTATTGAATTTTTTTGTTTTTTTTAACTTAGTGTATGTAACATGTCACTTATGCCCAACCATCACACAGATTTGGAAAACTAAAACTTTCTTTCCTTTTCCTTTCTTCTTTGTTTATTGAGAAGATAATTATAATGTATTGTACAAGAAATGGTGATGTTATAGGTTATCAGATATTGTAAAAAAATAAAAAAACATAGATAGAAAATAAAATTAAAATAAAAGCTTCCATTTAAATACATAAAGGGAATCAACACAGTAAAGGAGGAGACCATATTTAAAAGAAGAAAAACTACCAGAACAAGAGGACATAGTCTTAAATTAGAGGGACAAAGGTTTAAAAATAATATCAGGAAGTATTACTTTACTGAGAGGGTAGTGGATGCATGGAATAGCCTTCCAGCTGAAGTGGTAGAGGTTAACACAGTAAAGGAGTTTAAGCATGCGTGGGATAGGCATAAGGTTATCCTAACTATAAGATAAGGCTAGGGACTAATGAAAGTATTTAGAAAATTGGGCAGACTAGATGGGCCGAATGGTTCTTATCTGCCGTCACATTCTATGTTCTATGTATCAGCTAATCCATTACTTTTGGTGTTTTTCTCTAAATAGAGAATTTAATGTAAATTGAAAATGAATTTCAATATTTGGGCTAAAATAGACAAGAAAAATTATCCAAGACAGTTCTGCTTTTAATTTAGCCTTTTTTTGCTTAAATTTGTAATTACCTTTCATTTCACATTGAATTCACATGTATTCTCTCTTTACTGAATAACCCTAGTAGGTAAAAAAAAAATATTTTTGTTGAGTGTACATTCAAGAGTGACATACAGAGGTATAACATTACCAATACAAGGCGATACAGTGTATACAATTGTACAATAAGGAGAGCATGCCATAGAAATAAAGGTCTATTCTCAACTTTCTACATTATGCATTAACAGTCCTGACATTTATTTGGACAGCTTTCTGGAGAGATTATGAGTAAACGTTTAGGCTCTGAGCCACCTCAAATAGGTCCTGTAACACACAGATCAAAATGAATTCGTCCTGACGTGTTCGGTCTCATTCAACACAGTGGCTGATATAACAACCGTTTAAAAAAAAAAAAAGTATTTTCCAGTATAAAAACTGGACTAGGACGAGTGTAGTGAGAGAGAAGTGAAGAAAGAAAATAGAGAGATGAGATAGAAGAAGGTAAGCGTCCAAGGTGGTGAACGGTGGTAGCCCTAGCGATCTCTATGGGCTTGTCGAGTATGTATGGGGGCTGGAACTCGAGGGGGGGAGTTAATAGGATACATTTTAATAGACAAATGGTGACTGGAAGAACATTGGTAAGAGCTGTATATGGTCTGATAAAAATCTGCAAAATCAAGATGTCACATTTTTGTTGAAAGTTGCTCTTATATTAACCCGAGCAAACATTACTGAAATATTTAGTGGAGTATGGTGTACTATGGAGGTATATATAAATAACTATATCTACTGTACATTTCTCTATGCTGGCTATTCCTATTTTACTGACATGTCTTACTCTTGCACGCAAGTTGATCACCATTTTACCATAACCCCTTGTGTGCGTGCATTCACAGGCAAAGCATAAAGAGCCATGAGATAATTTGTATCTGCTGTGGACACCAATCTGTGCCAGCACAGTTTTGCATATTAATATTTTTCTAGAAAAATAATACCCCCACCCCACAGAAAATGTTTTTTTTTTGTCAGAAAACATTTTACGAAATTATACTAGATTGTACGCATGGACAGCAATGTGAGAGCACCAACAGGTTGAGAAAATGTGTTGCTGTAGCAAAAGGAAACCCTTCCTAAAATGTTTAGGATAGATGGACGGACGTATGGACGTATGGATATGTTTTCAGTCAAAATAGTGCTAACCCCATGAAGTTATGAATAGAATTACCTAACTCTGTCGTAAAGGTGTAATATTCCATTATGACTTTTGGAGGACTGAATCTATAACCATATCTTTCCCAAACCTCTTCCAAGCAAATGGGTAGAATATCTGTGATGTATAAGAAAAGTATGTGATGTAAAAGAAACTCACTCAGTAGTTATGATTTTTTTGTAGGAAATACTGTCTCAAACCACAACTTCACAAAAATTATTTTACGCATTAGTCACCACAGGGAACATTTTATTTTAGCTCTCAGATATGCAGTGTAGGTTCCATTTCCTCTTTTTAAAAACCTAAATGTTTCCATTCTGTGGAAAAATAACAAATGTTTTGAATTTCACCCTTGCCTACAATAAGGTATAGCGTTACATTAAGATTAAGATCAGGCGAGATACTGACGATTATGTTGGGCCTAATTGCAGACTATTATGGACAGAAAACATTAAAACAGCCATACCTCCAAACGTGTCTTGCATCTGGAGGAAGGGGTTTTGGAGAGGCACTTACAAGATGCGTTTTAAGACCACACATACCCTATGTCATGGATGGGCATCCTTCGCCACTTTTGATGTTGTGAACTACATCTCCCCTGATGCTTTGCAAGCACTATGGTTTGAGATTGTAGTCTACAACATTTGGAGTGCCAATGGTTGCCTACCCTTGCGCTACACTCAGAATGCACACACATTCTAGGAATTGTGGGGCGCTTCGCACATTATTTGGTGGTGGGGCAGTTGTTTTTACTGCAGTGTCAAAATACTATCAATTAACTATACGTGGCATGCAGTGAAATATAAGAACAACAAAAGGTTACACTTAAAGTCAAGGCTCAAAATTTAAAGTCTGAGCTATTAGGCAGGTTTTAAAGTTACAGGTCACAATAAGCACTATAGGTCCACGGCACACTCACTATGGGCGAATTTCTACACATACTCTATGTTACAGGTAGGCAACCTTCGGCACTCCAGATGTCCTTGTAGGCTTCATCTCCCCTGATGCTTAGCCAGTGTCATGGATATGAGAGCATTATGGGAGATGTAGTTCACAACATCTGGAGTGCCATGGCTGGAACATGACTCCAATAAAACAGCCTTTATAATCCACAACAATTGCCTTAATCGTAATGCACAGTCAGTGACGATCTCTCTCTTTTCCGTTTTTCTTCCTGCTTTTTGTCCCTGTAATATCTCTTTCTCGCACTTATCCACTACTGTTTGTTTATTTATTTTTTGCTTTCTATAATAATTGTTAAAACTGGCAAGATAGAGATGCTGAATACATTAACCTTGATGTAACAAGTGATATTTTCTGGTATGTCTCCCTGTACCAAAAAACAAACAAAAAAACAAACAAAACTTCCTACATGATTTATCTACAAAAGTCACCATTAAAGTCTAGGGGAATTTTTGTAAATCAACCATTTGAAACGTTTTTCTTTTTTTTTTTGAAATTCTTTATTTTTGCGTGCATGTGAGCAAAGCATTATTCAACAGTTCACCTGCCACAACAGCTGGTGTCTACTTTTGTTTAAGCATTCAAAAACATTTTGGCAAGAGTCTATGCACATATAATTTTTGTGTAACAAGTGAGTCGTTGTGAAGGTAAGTGGTACCAGTCGCGTCTGTTATAGGGTAGGGGTCCTTCACTCCAGTCTCCTCGGCTGGGTTGTGTTGGCTCATGTTAAGTGTCCATTAGTGTGTCAGGTTAAGGTATGTAATGTTAGTCGTTGGTCTACTATTGTGTTGCAGTCTAGTTAGGGGAGAGGGGGGGTGAGTCCTCCGGGTCCCGGTGGGTACTGTGACCGCGTGACCTATTGGGGATGGTAGAGACCCTTGCTGGTTAGGTTTTTGCACTGTGGTGTATATTGCGTGCGCCTAAATTACCCCTTGACATGGGGGGGGGGGGAGGTTGTCAGTCAGATAGTAGGCTGTCGGGATCTAGTCTGGGCCTCTGCTTGCCTGTCAGTGGTTATGGTCTGATGTGGGGGGTGTTTTTAGAGTCCCTCGTGGTGATGTGGATTGGTGATGTATGGGGGAATGTCTCAAAAGTCTTTTGGAGGTCTTCGGGTCTGGTTCAAGTCGTGGCCACTGCGTATTGTTCCGCTTGAGGCCTCCTCGGCACGAACTCCGGTGCACTGACTGCATCCTGCCCAAGGGGGCATGTGGTTCTCGCCGGTGGTCCCGCTGGTAGGAGGGCATTCAGGGGGAGACCCAGAGTGCCCAGGACCCTCGTGGCTTCATGCACGTTGCTTACAGTATGTGGCGTGTCTCCCCTCATGATGTGTAGGATGTGAGCTGGGCCCCAGCGGTACCTGATTTGGTTGACTCGTAGCACTGCAGTGAATTGTTGTAGAGATCTTCGCCACGCTAATGTTCTGCTTGAGAGGTCTGGGAAGAATGACAGGGTCATGTTTTCAAAGAGGTATGCCGACTGCTCCCTGGTGGCCGCTAGGACTGCAGTTTTGTCCCTCAGGCTTTTAGAATTGGAGCACTATATCCCTAGATGCACTAGGCGGTGCCCTGGTCGGTCTCGGCAGGCGAAATATGCTGTCTAGCGTAATCGCCGTGGCGGTTTTCAGAGTCAAGAGTGCGGTGAGGAGCCGCCTGGTAAAGTGTGGGAGCTCTGCTTCAGGAACTGAGCCAGCCACCCCCCTAACCTTTAGGTTTTTGTAGCGTCTTTTGTCTTCCTGTAAAGAGAATCGCTGATCGTGTAGTTGGTTCTGTTTTTGCAGTGCACTGATTGCAGCTTGGAGCTCAGTTATTTGAGTGGTATGTGTTGTGGAGATTCCCTCCACTGCCTGGAGTCGTCCTGTCAAATTTTTCAAGTCATCTCTTATCATAGCCACATCGGCTGCGATTTTCCTATGGTGCTCAGCCATGAGGTCTCCTATGGCTTCCATAGTTACCGGTTTGGGGTCAGTCACGGGTGGACCGGCTGTTTTAATGTTGGGGCCGGTGATGGGTCTCCCTCCGTGTCGTCCGAGGACCCCTCGTAGAAGTCCGAGCAGCCGCCATGCAGGGACGCCATCTTGGAGCCCGTGGCCTCATGGGCCTGCCGCCAGAGGTTTCCGATATCCATGCCGGGTCGGGGCTTGTCCGGCTTTTGTTTTTTCATTTTTCTCCCCATATGGTCCGGGGGGGTTCTGGGCTCACTGTGCGGTGGTTTCCGCCGGTGCCCAGGTGTGGAAAGGGTGAGTTTTTCTGTAGTTTAGTCCGTAGCTCCTCCACCATGCGTCCGTCTGCTTCCCTGGCTTAGCTCCGCCCCTGGAACGTTTTTCTAACAGTATTGAATCATTTGGAAAGTTTATTAGATTAGGGCCTATATTCATTAAAAATAATAAAAAAATAATAAAATCGTCAAGATGGAAAAATTCTATTAGCAGGTTGGTTTGGACATTTACCAAAATGACTATTTTATTCTAAACCATGTACTGTTCAGTGAATAAACAATTTAGTGTTATATAAAGATATTAAAGGGACACAACTAAAGCTTGTTGAATTTGTTCTGGTGAGTAGAATCATTACCTTCAGGCTTTTGCTGTAAACACTGTCTTTTCAGAGAAAATGCAGTGTTTACACTACAGCCTAGTGATAACTGGCCACTCCTTTTGTGGTTGTTAGAGATCCTTCCTGGGTCATGGCTGCCTAAAATGCCTCCAAACATTCAGTATCTCCTCCCTCTGCATGTAGACACTGAACGTTCCTCATAGAGATTCATTGATTCAATTAATCTCTATGAGGAGATGCTGATTGGCCAGGGCTGTGTTTGAATTGTGCTGGCTCTGCCCCTGATCTGCCTCTTTGTCAGTCTCAGCCAATCCTATGGGGTAGCACTGTGATTGGATCAAGCTACCACTTCTGATGATGTCAGCAGACAGTAGGCAGGTCTAAAGGAAACAGGGACAAAATAAGCAGCTGCAGACTTGAATACAGTAAGATTTTAGTATATTTAGGGAGGCATGAGGGGACCAGGGTGGCTATATTGTGGTTTTAACCCTATAGGGTCAGGAATACATGTTTGTGTTCCTGACCCTATAGTGCTCCTTTAATATATATTTTTGTTAACATTGGTGGCATTTTGAAATTAATAAATATATATCTTTACCTTCTTTAGGTGAGGCTGTTAAACAGCCCTGCAAAAGTAACAACTCAAATTCAATCTGTGTCACGTGTCCAGAAGGATATTACAACCGAGAAAAAACTAAAAGCGAGTGTTCACCGTGCTTCTACTGTAACACCAGTAAGTTAGTACTTTACAAAATGTGGTTTATATATTTAATTTAGCAATAATCTGTAGATCAAATGTAATCGTGGTAAAGCGAGATGCTAGCACCCTTTGACTCACTTCCTATACTCCTCCCATTCTGGTGTCATAAATCTCCACTTGTCTTTTTTTTTAATATATATATAAATTTTCATTGAGTTTTTGCATTACAAAATGAATAGACAAGTTTCTATTCACACTGAGATGGACCAAAAAGTACCTTGAGACTCAAGATTGAACTCTGACAATTTCAAAATGTTAAGGCATCAATGAACATTGAAAATGCACTTTAACACACAATAGCATGTGTAAGCTCTCAGTTCTTACTTAAATGTAATTATTTTGGATAAGCTTTTGGAATGATCACAATCTGTTAAAATAATAATTTTTCAAATATTAACCACTGGGGGCCTGGGAGTACCCAATGGACCCATCTACCACAAAACAGCCCAGTTGTCAACAGTAGTATGGGAATCCACAGAGATGCCGTCACAACACCTTCTCCACCAACAGATCACGTTTCACCAGCCCCAATTGAGAAACAGAGCTTTGGCCTTGAGAAAACGTTGGGATGATAGTTTATTCACCTACTTGAGACAACCTCTACTCCAATTAAACAACGAACATTTAACCAAGACTATGTACCGACAAACAAACAACATACAGTAAGAAAACATAGACAGGAACGGAAAAGGGAACCCTAAAACCTGCTAGGCACCCTGCTCTCCAATATATGCTCTTAAGAGGGATAATTAATAACCTGAAACCAAACGTCACACAAATAAAACCACGCCATTATAGTCTCTATATATTAGATATATTCACAAACTCGTCTCTAATCTAGAGGGTCCCCCTAGTCTGTTTAGCCACTCTGTAAACCCACCTGCTTTATTGCTTGATTGTTATACTGTATTATTGCTTTACTACTCTACACACTGTTTATTAAAGTCTACAAGGTGATGCAGCGATGCAATATGATGGCACCAACACTCATGACCCTAGCTACCTCATCCTAAAAGTACTACCGAGATAGGGCACTCGACACGAGCGATACCATGAAAAGGTTACCTACCCTATTACAATTCCCTGTTTCCATTAAAATCTAAGGAATATGACCTTTATACACACCTGAAACAGCCCAGTGTTCACTTGAACACTGTTCGTAGAGGATCTTTTTCCCCTATTTCACCAATACCACTAGCCCAGGGTTTCTAATACCTAATTATTTACAAGTCACACGTCCCTAAACATACAGTAAATCTACAATCCATAATATGAAACTTCATAGAATGTCCATATGAGTCTTGGAAGAAGTTAACCTTCAAACATCATGTCAAATTATCAGAGTATCCACCACCTACACCCTTAGTTTAGTCTTGTATTTGAATAGGCTTAAATGTATCCGCCCAGCACCATATCTTGTTGCCGTTCTACGAATTGTACATGTACCTGTACCTGTATTTTGATTGAGCCATGAAATGTTCCACGGTTGCCTTGTTTATCACTGATTACTGTTACCTGGTAAAACTCAATAAAAATTGTCAAATTAAAATTGAAAAATAAATAAAATATCAGAAAGACGAATGAATAGAAAAATCAGACGAACAAACTAACACTGTGTATCACTGTTCGTTTGTTCGTTCAGTTTATTACAAGGAGGGAGCTACCGGCACGCAGCTCCCTCCTTGTAATATGTAACTATAGAAGCGGCAGGGAGCCAGGACCCGCATAATAGCATAAGGGAGATTAAAATCTCCCGAATGCCCCTACTCGCTATACCGCGAGTAGGGACATGTCTACTAACCAGTGAGCAGCCTGTGGCTGTTCTCTCCTCCCCCCAGGACCCAACCCCATGGGCGGTGGGTGGGGGCCATAATAATAATGAGGGGGGGACCTACTGTCCTCCGCCCCCACCCCTGGGCGACAGGTGGGGGCCATAATGATAATGGGGGGACCTACTGTCCTCCACCCATGCCCCCACCCCTGGGTGGCGGGTGGGAGCCATAATGATAATGAGGGGGGGACCTACTGTCCTCCCCCTCCGGCCCCCACCCCTGGGTGGTGGGTGGGGGCCATAAAGATAATGAAGGGGGGACCTATTGTCCTCCGCCCCCTGGCCCCCATCCCTGGGCGGCGGGTGGGGGCCCTAAGTCAAATTCCCCCCCCATCAAAGGTGACTAGGGTCCCCAAGCCCCTAGTCACCCACTCCCCACCCAAATAAAAAGGCCCCTACCTACCCCCCTCACCCTAAAAAATAGTGAGGGGGGAATAAAATTACTAACCTGTAAAGTAAAATTAAACTTACCATTCGACATCTTCATTTTTCTAAAATCTTCATTTTTCAGCCCCAAAAAAGGCCAAATAAAAAACCTAGTCACCTTTGATGGGGGTGGGGAATTTGACTTAGGGCCCCCACCCGCCACCCAGGGGTGGGGGTCGGGGGGGAGGACAGTAGGTCCCCCCTCTCATTATCTTTATGGCCTCCACCCACCGCCCAGGGGTGAGGGCCGGGGGGGAGGACAGTAGGTCCCCCCATTATCATTATGGCCCCCACCCGCCGCCTTGGGGTGGGGGGATGGACAGTAGGTCCCCCCATTATCATTTGGCCCCCACCCGCCGCCCAGGGGTGGGGTCCGAGGGGGAGGACAGTAGGTCCCTCCTCATTATCATTTGGCCCCCACCCGCTGCCCAGGAGTGGGGGACTGGGGGGAGGACCGTAGGTCCCCCCTCATTATCATTTGGCCCCCACCCGCCGCCCAGGGGTGGGGGCTGGGGGGGAGGACAGTAGGTCCCCCCCTCATTATCATTTGGCCCCCACCCGGCACCCAGGGGTGGGGGCCGGGGGGGAGGACAGTAGGTCCCCCCATCATTATCATTATGGCCACCACCTGCTGCCCAGGGGTGGGGGCCTGGGGGGGTGGACAGTAGGTCCCCCCCTCATTATCATTATGGCCCCCAACCGCCTCCCACGGGTGAGAGCCTGGGGGGGAGGAGAGGACAGTAGGTCCCCGTCCCCCCATTGTAATTTATGGCCCCCACCCGCCACTCAGTGGTGGGGGCCGGGGGGAGGACAATAGGTCCGCCCCCTATTGTTATTTAGGGCCCCCACCCGCCGCGCAGGGGTGGGGGCCGGGGGGGAGGACAGTAGGTCCCCCCATCATTATCATTATGGCCACCACCTGCTGCCCAGGGGTGGGGGCCGGGGGGGAGGACAGTAGGTCCCCCCCATTATCATTATGGCCCCCACCCGTCGCCTTGGGGTGGGGGGATGGACAGTAGGTCCCCCCATTATCATTTGGCCCCCACCCGCCGCCCAGGGGTGGGGTCCGAGGGGGAGGACAGTAGGTCCCTCCTCATTATCATTATGGCCCCCACCCGCCTCCCACGGGTGAGAGCCTGGGGGGGAGGAGAGGACAGTAGGTCCCCGTCCCCCCCATTGTAATTTATGGCCCCCACCTGCCACTCAGTGGTGGGGGCCGGGGGGAGGACAATAGGTCCGCCCCCTATTGTTATTTAGGGCCCCCACCCGCCGCGCAGGGGTGGGGGCCAGATAGTAGGGTTTTTATTTACAGTGAGCAGCCACTGCTCACTGTTTAGTAGACATGCCCCTACTCGGTATAGTGAGTAGGGGCATTCGGGAGATTTTAATCTCCCTTATGCTATTATGGGGGTAATATTAACCCCCATAGAGTGAGGCGGGGACCTGGGGGGCTTAGGAAGAGGCGGGGAGCACTGCTCCCCGCCACTTCTATAGTTACATATTATAAGGAGGAAGCTGTGTGCCGGTAGCTCTCTCCTTGTAATAAAATAAACAAACACTGATACACAGTGTTAGTTTGTTCGTCTGATTTTTCTATTCATTTGTCTTTCTGATTGATGAATGAATGAATAGAGGAAATTCCCGTTCGCATGTCCAGGTGTTTCACTGGGCATGTGCCGGATTTTCACAGTCTATCTAGTGTGGGCAGATGACGTGTCCCACAGGGACTTCATCTACCCACACAAAGATGGCAGCGCCCTGAATAAAGATCAGGGCAGAAAATAAAGATTAAAAAATAGGTAATATGGGGGGCTTAGGGGCATTTGGGGGTGACTAGGGGGTCCATTGGATGTAGTGGAGGCGGGGGGAAAAAAACGGTTTTCGGCATGACAGTACCGCTTTAAAGCATTTTAAAAGTTTTTCTTCTAACAGATGCCAATAATTTCTGATGCTGAGTCAAACAAATAATATCTAGACTAAAAGCTTATCCAAAAGAACTAAATTGAGGCCCAGATTCACTAACAGGTTCATTTTGTCCACCACCCAATATTACACTGGCCTTATTGAAACTAGTTTGCTTGTTTTAATAGTATTGCTTTATTTGTCTAATAACGCTCTGTAATATGTATTCTGTGTTAATGGTAATAATCTAAATTTATTTTATGATCTGTAGAACTGGGAAGCATTGAAAAGAAGGCATGTACCAAAAGTGCCCAGGCTGAGTGCATCTGTCCGAACGGGAGCATCTCAAAAAATGAAAGGCACACTGCGTGTGAATGTCCGAAAGGAAAGCAAATAGTGAAAGAAGGCAAGGTTTAATTCTACTAAGATCATAGGCGTGCTCAGCCTAGTGTATAAGGGTGTGCACCCTAAAGCAAAAACACACACGCTGCGTATATATATTTATTTATATATATATATATATATATACATACACACACACTGCTGTAGGTGCTGTGTGTGTGTAGGTGCTGTGTGTGAAGGCGCTGTGTGTTTGCAGGCGCTGTGTGTGAAGGCGCTGTGTGTGTGTGTGTGTGTGTGAAGGTGCTGTGTGTGTAAGGGTGCTGTTAGTGTGTGCTTTGTGTGTGTGGGTGAGTGTGCTGTGTGTGTAAGGGTGCTGTGTGTGTGAGGGTGATGTTAGTGTGTGTATGTATAAGTGTGTTGTGTGGGTAAGGGTGCTGTTAGTGTGTGCTGTGTGTGTGTAAGGGTGCTGTGTGTGTAAGGGCGCTGTTAGTGTGTGCATGTGTGAGGGTGTTAGTGTAAGGGTGTTGTTAGTATGTGCTGACCCTGGTGGTCCAGTGGAGAGTGAACTCTAGCTCCTTATGGGGCTAGAGTTCACTCTCGTGAGATCTGAGCGTTGCTGCGGTAACCGCGGCATATCTGCAACCGCGCAAGAGGAACCCGGCGGAGCTGCTGGCAAGAGCTTCCCGGGTCCTCTCCTGCCTCTCCTGCCTCCCTCCCTCCCTGCCTGTGGGTCGTGATATTTGATCTTCCTCACCGGCCCACGGAGGGAGGCACATAGTGTGTGCCGCGGGGATTAGGGTGTGGCTAGGCACACCCAGCACATCCCGTGCGCACACGCCTATGACTAAGATGTTACCATTATATGAAACTTGAGTAGAGGAAAAAAGCTAATTTATAGCTGATATATTAAACTGCACATTATGCTGTACTGGAATGGACTAACAAATAGACAGACAGACAGACTGAAAGATCGATATGAACAGAAGGGCTGGTAGATAGATAAGTAGACAGATGGACGGATGGCGGGCGGATAGATAGATAGATAGATAGATAGAGATAAGAATGGCAAGCATTCCATGCAAGTTTAGCATATTTAGTATTATGACTATAAATTGGTTGGATGTAAGCATTGATACAAGCATTGATGTACACCATACACTTAAAAAGAACTTAAAAAATGTAAGTACTTACATGTCTCTTTCTATATTTCAGAATGCGTACAATGCCCAGTAGGACATTTCTCAGACAAAGAGAACAGTATTTGCCGGCCATGGACAAAGTAAGTGGGAGATGAAACATATTGCGTTCTTTCATCTTTAAAAAGTTCTATAAATGGGTTTATTTTCTCAGTCTAAGTGATAACTGAAGTTATATTACAGAAAAATATAATAATAAAATATAATATAAAGTGTCTTTTTGCTCTTAGGATAACACAAAGTTTCTTAGTGATTTTCAATGTTTTATTTGATGGCATAATATCCAGAAATATAGATTCCATTAAACAAACTCTCTAAGCATCATAAGCACTACAGCATGCTGTTTGGTAACAGTTTGACTTCTGACTTGGAATCTGCCGGTCACTGACATTCCAACCCATTCAGATTAGTAAAACCTACCTTTAGCTGCTTCTACCTGGCTACAAGATTACAAGTAGCTACGCCATGTGGTTTTTAAAACATTTTTTAATTCTTTATTTTTCTTGCGCAGGTGGGTACAAAGACATTAACAAACGCCACAACAGCGTACACGTGCATATAAACAGGCTAAACAGTGGCATTGATTTGTGCACATTTTTTTATTTTTGAGTACAGGCTTTTGTCAAGCGCCACAACTGCGTTCATATATATGCATACAGGCTTAACATTGGTGTGAGTGTGCATAAACAAACTAAATAATAACATGCTGAACATAAATGATGAATTACTGCATTGCTGTAGATTACTGCTGTATAGGCACCCAGACCACTTAGCTCAATTAAGTGGTCTGAGTGCCAAGTGCCTCAGGTTTTAACCCTTCAGATGCAAACATAGCAGTTTCAGAGAAGTTTCCAGCGCCGAGGGAGCCCAGCGCTAGATTAAGGTAAGCTGCTGAAGGGGTTTTAACCCCTTCAGCGCCACGGGAGGGGGACCCTGAGGATGGGGGCATCTTCTTTAGTTTTCAAAATAAAAATAATAATAAGGAGTTTAGTTCCATAATTGTACAGTTTCTGTACCTTGTTCCATAAATGTTGCTGAATATGAATTTAAGACTTTTGATTTTCCAAGACCCGTAGTTTAGCTATTAACTCTCTACAGGAGTAAGTTGACAAAACATTAACACAAGAACGAGTCAACTCCATCTTGGAATGCCTTTAAAAAAAAATAGTAAATGTTTTATTTTATTTTTTTTTCATTCTAGATATAGAAACGTTTAAAAAAAATTTCAATTATGAAGGTTCTTTAAGGTATATCATTGAGTGGCACTAATGTATAGAGAAAGAGCTCTATCCACCTGTATTTATATATGCAAGAGTTTCCACATGTATTCCTCTGACGTAATGTGCTGGTTTCAGCAATTAAACGTACAGTCAGCCTAATGTGTTGATGTCTGTTAAAGGCTTAGATCTGAACAATATATATATTATCAACTGAGGAAGGTTCACAACTGTGAACTGAAATGTTGACTACTTGGATTAAATGCCTATTTTTTCACGTTGAATTCCTTGAGTGCTGGCTTTCTTTTTGGAGACAATATATATATTATATATACATTTCATATACAACTTAATATGTCCACGAAACGAAATTATTGACTGGTAGCAATAAATAAATTTCCTCCGTATTCAGAAATACAGGTTTTGGATCTTTGTTTATATAAAAATGTTGAAAGTAAAACATCTAAATAAATACATTTATATTATACAAATTTAATTTAAAAACAGAATGCAATATTTATGTATTTGATTACATATTGTCCTTACAAAAAAATGCCTCTTCTCCATTTTTTGCTAAAAGTGAAAAAAAACATGGTAAATATTAGTGTTTATTAAAAACCCCTGATTTATTACAAAATATATGTTTTAATCCCTGGGATTTATGAATGATGTTCATGGTTCCTCTTGCTTATCCCTCTCCTATGACAGCTGCAGTGCTAGAGGTGACGTTGTCCAGGTAGCTGGTTCTAGCACATCAGACGTGATATGTTCTAAAACAAAGATCCAACCTGAACCTGTAACAACAAAATTTTCCAACCTACAAACCAGCAGAATATTTCTCAATAACCTCAAAACCATCTCTGCTAATCAACATACTGTCACCAGGGAAGATAAAAAAAATAACGATGTCTACAACAATAATAATACAGGTTCCGGAAACTTGATGACCTGGGGTGAGTTGTGGAACTTTGATAAGGATTAATCAATGACTTGGCCATCAGATTGCAATGATTTTAGTTCGACATAGTCAGCTTTTGGCCAGGTGACAGCCACTGGATAGTATCTCCCTAAATGGTGTCAGTTCTGTTCTTCATAAAAATGCTTGAGTTCAAACATTTCCTGATATAATTGATGAGTCCGAAATAACTTTTCAGTTCTGCTGCCTCTAAGTTGAAATGGAGACATACGGAGTCCATCTCTTTGACTCTGCTTTGAATGTTCTAGGTCTAGTCTGTGTCTGCAATTTGAGACGCACTGGTCTTAATTTCTTTACTGAAACAAAAAATTTAATTGATCATTTGTTATATCAGCTGTAATATTTTGCTTTGAAAAAATAGAATTTAAGGATAATGACTCTGCATCTCATTAATATTGTCTACATCTATGTATATGTCCACATTTTGCAAAATCAGTTTTTAATTAACAACAGATCCCTGTTTGGTAGAGAAACGGCAATTGAGGCAGAGAATAAATAAATATCCCATATGAATGAGTAGTCCTGTTCTTGTCAATGACTAACCTGCTATGCAAACTATAATATCTATTTACTTCAAGTAGCAAGACTCTGCTCCTCTTGAAATAAATATATGCCTTAGTGAGGACCAGGAATTGGTTAGTACAGGTACATCCTGCATACAATAAATTGTACCAAGGACATTAGGAAGAGTCTGAAGAAGACATTTTGTATAATTAATTTGGTTATATATTATATAAAAGTTGAAGAATGGGTCACTAAGCTAATTTTAGAATTGAAGATTAGATCAAAAGCCTAATCGGAGTCTCTGTCAATAAAAGATTAAGAATCGTTGTTACATGCTCTGTGTTTGCCACTATTGGTTAACTTTTGGTATGCTAGTTGTCTGTTAGCTTTCTGGATGAGTATCAAGTAAATCTTATTCTAACCCTGATTTTAAATGTAATATTAACCTTAAACCACAAAGTCCCTAAAACTAACCCTATATTTAATCATAACCCTAAATGTTCTAACTCCTGGTGCTCTAGTGGACTACTTACCCCTAACTTTACTTATATTGCAGGACTTGACCAAGCAGTGCTTTTCAGGCACTATGTCTGGTACCCAGAAGTATCAGGTGACTCAACTGTGCATGTCTCTTGAATGTTGGCCTACTTAACTTTTCATCTTTTCTGCCACCACAGGTACCTTGTCATTGATTTTGGTTGGAGTTACCCTGCTTTCTCTCTCTGCTGGGTTCATTATAACAATGATTATACAGATGAAGCCAAAGAAGATGAACAATATATTGCGTAGCAGTAAGTAAAATCCTGTATGTCTTTACTGCTTTCTGGATCATCTGGCCTAGAATGTCATATTGAAAGAATGTCAAAAAACATGTCTTGTTTGGTAGAGAGGTAATAGAACATGCTCACCCCTTCTTCTTATTGGAATGCCTAGGGTAGCGCATAAGCGTCCCCTGTGGTGAAACTAGGTTGATGGCTGAAATCAGATATGACAATTGTGGAAGGTCAAGTATCCTATTGTCATATCTAATGGAACAACATGTCCTAAAACAAGTTAGGATGGCAGAGGACGAATGCTTTTCTCCTCACGTGTCCTTCAAAGACTCTTAAAGGACCACTCTAGGCACCTAGACCACTTCAACTTAATGAAGTGGTCTGGGTGCCAGGTCCAGCTAGGGTTAACCCATTTTTTTAATAAACATAGCAGTTTCGGAGAAACTGCTATGTTTATCAATGGGTTAAGCCTTCCCCCTAATCCTCTAGTGGCTGTCTCATTGACAGCCACTAGAGGCGCTTGCGTGCTTCTCACTGTGATTTTCACAGTGAGAGCACGCCAGCGTCCATAGGAAAGCATTATGAATGCTTTCCTATGTGACCGGCTGAATGCGCGCACATCTCTTGCCGCGCGTGCGCATTCAGCCGACGGGGCGGATCGGAGGAGGAGAGCTCCCCGCCCAGCGCTGGAAAAAGGTAAGTTTAACCCCTTTTCCCCTTTCCAGAGCCGGGCGCGAGGGGGACCCTGAGGGTGGGGGCACGAGTATGTTTTCCTGGCACTATAGTGGTCCTTTAAAAATTAAATTTTAGAATGAATAATTGTAAATAAATAGTTATACTATTAGAATTTTAATCCTTGTAACTTGTAGTTAGAGAGCCACTCTTTATCTAGAAATGCCGTATACACCATGTTCCTTCTAGATGTAACAAGCACTTTTGTCGTTGTTTATTATCACAGGAAAGTGCAGACACCCAGTACAAGAACAAGAAAAGGAACAAAGTTCAGCCTCAGAATCCAGCCTGGTCAAGCAATGTTCTGAATCTGCATGACGAAAAAGCACCTCAACATATGCCAAGTGTCCATGAGACACTTGCATCTATTTACTGGTATCCAGTAAGGATTTATTAAGTATCAAGGAACATCAGGAACTGAAGAGGTTCATTTGTAAAAACACATTTACTAATACAATATGTTAAATTTTTATGAACTTTGAATTTTCCTTTTATATTTTTACTGTTTGTATTTATGTATTTTTGAAGGACCTTGCTACTTCCACTATCTCTTTCTTTTGCTCCTTCCGGTTGGACTTTGTTTAATTTGCTTTGTAAAGACCTTTCGCCTTGCACCACCTCTTCATTTTCTCTTGTGAATTTCTGAAAGAGGCTGTAAATTATTTATGTAAATTGATTTATCATTCTAGAATGCTATTAAAATGTCACACAGGGTCAGTACGATGATGTATTAAGTAGAATATTAACACCTAGAAATTGTTTAAGGCGATTCATGAACCTTAATCAAAGCAATAAAAATATTATGTAGTGTTTATATGTATGTAGTACCTTAGTTCATATATGTGATATATGTACCATAAGATCTCTCTCTCTCTTTGTTGAACTAATTTGCATATGCCTACCCAGAATCCCTTGCAGTAGTAACATAACACTGCAAATTTGAGATTTCTGTGGGAAAAGCAAGTCACTTTGGGAGTGAAACGTTTCTGTTTTTTTACTTGCTTGCCTTATGTCCATGGCCACCGATGATTTACTTTTACATACATTTTTCCTTGTGATGTTGTTTCAGGGATATTGTTGTACATGACTGTTCAAATAGTGTAGCGAAAGCTACTCTCTGCTTCTGGTGCATGTTAGAATTCTGTGCCAGCGTCCACAAGACAGCCTCCCACTTTACATTAGCCCTCATCTACCATGAAAAAAACTGTGCGGTATGCATAGAGGTGTGGGAGCATGGAATGGGCAGGAAATATCCTGTAAACCCTGTAATGGCACCCCCAGGCATAAATGGGTTAAACTGCCGTTTAGGAGATCTTCCCCTTCCAGAGATACAGGCACAGCTACTGCAGAACACCAAACTCCCGAACCGCATGTAAGGGAATGCTCCAAACTCCCGAACTGCATACAAAATAGCACTCCAAACTCCCGAACTGGAACCATACGAATAGCTGCTAGCAGACGAATAGGAAAAGCACCCAAGCAGCTTACACTCCTAGCAATCAGTGTCTATCAGCATACAGTAAATCCCCCCAAGAACGAGACAGAGCTCTGTGGTGAGGGTCAAGCAGTGGTCTGTTTAATGAGGGCTACCTGCCCAGTATTTATACAGGTCTCCCACCTGGTGGACACTCCCCTAGGGGACCAAATGGGAAACTGGGACACAAATGGTAAAATGACCAATCACAGGCAGACATGGTTAAAACACTCCCTCAATACATTACAATCCCTCCCCTCTATCCTGGAGATAATTGGGAAGTAATCCAATTATCTCCAAGGACAGAGGCAAAACTCCATTACCCACATGGTTACAATAAAACACTAAAACACAATAAAATACACAATATTACATATATCACACAAAATATATACTTGCAACCCATCCCCAGATAGCTGGGATCTGAGCGCACAAAAGTACCGAATAGCGCTCAGATCCTATGCACACAGTCCAATCGCCGTGGAGTTAAAGTGTTCCTAAAGTCTGTTCTCCATATGAAAAGACTCCACGGGATGGCTATCTGGGGTAATGCTGTTCATACGGTTTAAACTACCGAATGAACAGGCATTCGGTTAACTGACCGAATGCAGAAGCAAGGATGCTGACGGCTCAGCGGTGTTCGCGCAAATAAGTGTCCGTTTACAGTTCCACAGTTTGGGCACTGAACACCGCTGGCCGTTCGGGACTTTAAACTGGCCACCGCCACGTGTTCGGCAACCGAACAAAGGCCACCCAGCATTCGTCAATTAAGCTGCGGTGAACCGCAGCTTCTGGGAGGTTAATTGCCGACACACTCCAGCTCCCAGGTGGTCCAGTCATTTGTGCGTTAGTTCGGTAGATTGAATCTACCGACCGCCGGGCAGAAAGGCACGAATAAGCCTTTAATAAGACTGGGCTCCCTATTCCCAATAACTCAGCCTGCCACTGGGAAATGGAGACCAGACTCCTGTAATTCAAACTGCCGCTGGGGATCTGAGCCGACTGCCCAGCATCCCTGTAGGTCACCCTGCCACTGGGGAGGGAGAACGCTGCTCTCCTCTCCCTGCAAGGTACACTGCCACTGGGGGACAGGACCAACTGTCTCTGCCCCCTGTAACTCAGCCTGCCGCTGGGGAATGGAGACAGGGCTCCCAATTCCCTCCATATCACACTGCCGCTGGGGAATGGAGACTGGGCTCCCAATTCCCAATAAATCATACTGCCGCTGGGGAATGGAGACTGTGCTCCCAATTCCCAATAAATCATACTGCCGCTGGGGAATGGAGACTGGGCAACAGACGAGCAACCAGGCTTCTCCAATGCAATGTGGTGAGATTGCTCTCGTCACAAACCCTAAGCCTAAATCTCTTGGCTACCCATAAGACGGTTTAATTTTGGGGGGACGTTTATCTCTATGTGACTGGATTTTTCTGTGTTTGTGCTTTTAGTCCCCCTTCCCTGCACTATGTCATGGTGCTTTCAGCAGGTCATGCCTCTAATCATCTAAAGTAGGACTTTCAGACTAGCAAAAACTGGCTAACCTGCCTCTAATATAAGTCATCTGTCAACCCCATTGTGTAAACATTGTATTGTATGTAAATCCTAGGTTGATTTTAATAAAACCAATATTCCTGTTGTATTTAAATTGTAATAAACTCTACCTGGTGTTTATTGGAAATGTGAACAAGACCTGCTACTTGTCCAGAGGGACGTTGCTGAAAGTCTGCCACCTTGTGGTAGGTACTGATGCAACGGATTTAGTGCTGAGAAGCATTGTAGGGTGGGTTCTGGATCTCAAAGCCAGAAACCAGTTCCTCTGTTCCAGTTACAATTTCTCTCTAGAATTCATAGTTATCCTATCATAGTAGTGGCCAAGTTGGTGCAAGTGTTAAACCCATTGCTTTGGTCTTTAACTCTGGTTGACTCAGTCGTTTTAATAACTCCTGTTACGAACGGAGACTGCTCCAAGCGTGCTCGCAACTTGGTTTTGGGGTTGAAAGAGTTTAAATTCACCATTTGCCTGTACTAGACTGTAAATAATGATATAAACCCCAGGTATCACCATCACCCACACTTAACTCTACTATCAAAATGTTGCCACCCACCACTAAGACAATATATAAATAAGGTGCCTTGGTCCACAGAGCAAATTGGACTTGCAACCCACAAAATATGTTTTTGCAAAATAGTTGGGCAATTTAAAACGACTAATAAATTGGTCTAATCAGGTAACAGAACCTGTGACCCAATACAGTGGACTTCACAGTTCATTTAAAACAGCTTAAGTTGGTCTAGCTGGACTCATTTTGTACACTGTGCACATTTGCCATTCTGAATATATACAGCAGGAGGCATGATTATTAAACTCTAGACTATTATTAATGCTTTTTGGATATGATTATTTGACAGACAATGGTCTCCTAACTACTAATGGTCACTTAGTTAGTATGTCAAAGGGATCCTCTATCTATGAGGAAATACAGACACATGGTATGTTAGCCAGTTAAGTTGCATTGAAACAAGACTTAGATGAAAGATGAATTCACGTTGTAAATATTCTAAAAGGGGTCCAGTGCCTGGACCCCTTTTATTTTATTTCATTGATCCTGGGAATCTAGTGTTTGGTTCCTGTCACAGTAAGCACCCTGGCTCTGACTGATGGGAGTGAGTGCAGTTCCATACATTTTTTCAAAAGTTATAAATATTCTGACATCTATCACATACTTACACAATCAAATAAATCCTTCTCATGCTGAAATTGGCCATACCGCCACTACCAATTCATGTATAAACTATCCGAATTACATTTAATAGCAGTATTCTATATTTCAATTAAGACTTATGCTTGCAGTGCATAACACCTATGCAATCCTACTCCTTTAATGGTTCCACTTGAATTCCTCTGCTTTTGAACAATGCTTGAATTATAGCTCTTTATGGATGTTAGATACTATTGATTATTGACATTGGCTTGGTTAAGGAGTACTCACACATTGTAAAGATACACATTAAAGGGGGACTAAATTGTTAGAAATACAAACCTGTATTCCTAACACTTTAGTGTTCATATCTCTAGGTAGGATGTTGTGCCCCCTCCACCCCCCCAACCCCCCTCTTTTTTTGCTGGAATAGTAATAGTTTTTTGCAGTGGGTTAGTCGTTGCATTTCATATGGGTAACTATGCAAAAACAGAAACCAGCGGTGGAGTATATCTAACTATCTCTACTGGAATAGATGTAAAAAGACACTTACATTTATTAGAGCTCTAGGGCATTGCGTATGGGCGAAACAATCCCTGCCTATGATATACATTGGTGTCTTATAATAAATCCTCAGTAAAACATGTAATGTAAAGCAGGACACAGGAGCAATATATAGTAAGGTATATCAAAAACCCTTGAATGATTTTTAATTTATATATCAGATGCACTCACACGATTAAGAGCCGCAGTTGGCTCAAACAAGATGGTGTGAAGTATTAGAATGCCCACTCAAGGATTACATTCAGGAAAGTGTAGTTAGCAGTATATGTGAAATAAAACACAAAATATAGTTCTCTCTATAGATAACAGCTATGTACTAAATAGAAGAATGCTACATACATTTATTTGAGCAATTTGTGGTATAGTTCAATCATTTAGGCTTTAGTGGATAGTATCCCGCCAATGATATAATCAACATAGAGTAGTTAGAGATGAGAGGGCATCCAGGATCAGGATAAAAAAATAGCTTTTTTATAAATACATTTAAAAAAACGATAAAACAAAGTAAAATATATCATAAAAAGAAGTGTTTCACCTTCTCAAAAAGGCTTTTTCAAAGTGCATGGAGGGCTTTGGATGTTGTTACTTACCTATATAGATGTTTAGATATTTAGGTTTGGTGCCAAAATCACGTCATTAGGGTCAATTGGTGACCTCTGATGTATTGGTAAGGTAACAACTTAAAATTTTGAATTATATGTAATAATTGGAAATAACTAATAATGTGTGTGTATTTAACCGCTTAAGGACACATGACATGTGTGACATATCATGATTCCCTTTTATTCCAGAAGTTTGGTCCTTAAGGGGTTAATTTACATTAATGTTGTATAAAAAGGAAAAGTATTAGTATTAAAAACCAAAGGCAAAGCAAAAAAAAAAAAAAAAGGAAAGACTATATAGAGAAAACAGTCTCTAACAAAATGGTGGAGTCAGTAAGCATGTGGCATTTATTCTTTGATAAAGCCAAACACTTCCGTGTATGTTGAACACGTGGTCACGTGACGCGTTTCGCCCCACCTCTTGGGGCTTTCTCAAACGACCAAGCTCATTTGAGAAAGCCCCAAGAGGTGGGCGAAACGCATCACGTGACCACGTGTTCGGCATACACAGATGTGTTTGGATACATCCACCGGCGAGATACACTAGCTTTAGAACCAGGAGGACTGTTTACCTGCAATTTTCTGCACAGCTTCAGGCTCCATATGGTGTGGTGAGCTGGCGGTGGACACTGTTTTTAAGCTGTTATTTGGAGTGTTTCTGTGCAATCAATAAATTGTGTTAATCTGACACCTGGTCACAAGAGCTTGTCTTGGATCCCACGTACCCAAAAGGCTGATCCTCCCTGGGCGAGATAGCCAGGAGTGGGGCTTATACCACTCCCAACTTGGGAGTTGTTTTCTTAAAGAGATATTTAGCTTTTACTGGTTTTAGTAACTTTATTGCACTTGGAGTGCTTTCTCTTTCTCCCCCTTCTCCCTTTTTTCTTTTTTTTGTTTCCCAGGTCATAGAGACCAGTGATGCCTATTGACAGGCTATAAGTATCAATTTGTCAATGTTTGGCACGTATGGTTCTTGTTGGGGATTATAATTCTCTCATGTACATCTTAGAGTCACTTCTCCACACTTAAGGTGTTTCAGTATATTTACTCTTGCGCACTAGCACTTTTTCTGTTTTTATAAGCACCAGAGTTCACCATCCAAAATGGGACACACCAGGGCTACCCACTATCCCCTCTTTTATTTGCCCTATCCTTGGAACCCATACTCCAGAAAATTCGTAACTCTCCAACAATCAAGGGCCTAAAAGTTAGGAACAAAGAATATAAAACCTCTACTGGAGCTCTTAGAAGAGTATGACAAACTCTCAGGGTGAAAACTAAACCTAGAAAAAACAGAAGTCCTCCCGATAGGCATTCCACAACCAACTCTAAATCACCTTCAACAAACATACTCTTTTCGCTACATCACACAGAGCATCCCATACCTGGGGACACATCTTCCAACCGACCTCTCCAAAACATACGACCTCAACTACCTACCATTTCTACAACAAGCATACACTGATCTACAGATGTGGCACCCCATATCCATTTCCTGGATGGGCAGAATAGCCACCATTAAAATGAACCTCCTCCCCAGGTTCCATTACCTGTTCCAAGCCTTCCCAATTCTTATCTCTAAACAGGATTTTTAAATGCTTCAAACAAAAATTTACAACTTTATCTCCGCAGGTAAAGAAGCCAAAATCAAAAGATCAACAATGTACATCACCAACAGAGCAGGAGGTTTTTGGCTTCCAAACTTCTCCCACTTCTTTCAAGCGACCCAACTGACGCAAATCCAGAACTTACACGCGCAAGCGGGCATGAAATTGTAGGTAGACCCAGAACATGACCTCCTGGAAAAGGATTTTTCCCTCCTTCTCTGGCTCCCTAGAAAAGATAGACCAGAAATCCCTCTAACATCCCCTGCCCTAACCACATTCTTTCAAATCTGGGAAAGGGTAACATCACGATACCCAATAGTAAATGCACCCTCTCCACTCACACCAGTCTTGAGAAAAATACAATTCATCCCAGGTATAACACCCCAAAACGTTGCACATTTTGAAGACAATGGGCTGCTAAGACTCTCCCATTTCTTTCGCAATCAACTATTCTTACCATTCGCAGACCTATCAAGAAACATACCACTGACTACCTTCGATCGTTTCCGTTATCTACTCCCACTATCTTTACTTTACTTGTCTACTTTCCACTATCTACTCCCTCCTGAATTCATCCTCCCCGATGGATGCCCTCTCTTAGACCTCAGCCTGGGAAAGAGACATAAGCCCACCAGAAGATCTCTCAGACCGGGTGGATGTCTGGGAGGCCACAAGGAGCGAGCATACAAACAATGCTCCGGTGGTACCTCACACCTCTCAGACTGAAGCAAATGGGGCGCTCTGACATGGACGTCTGCTGGAAGGGATGCGGCATAAAGGGCACCTATATCCTCCTATGGTGGGAATGCCCATCGTTTTCCCAGGGGGACTCATACTGACTCACCACCCATACTACAACAACAACATAACCTCTTAGAATCTGTGGAGTCAGCAAGCAGACGCCAACTAAC